TTAAAATTAAAATCCAAATTGTTTAGACTCAATACCATTGTAACTGAAATGAGTATTATGGGCCCTACACAGATTTATGCGAGTCGCAGGGTGTGCTCTGGCACACCAGGCACACCCTGTAGATTCGCCTATGGTAATGGTATCACATRAAATATATGAAAACTAAATTATTCTATAGMATTTTCAAAAATACCAATTATCTTGTATTTACTTTTTTAAATTCAWTAAAAATAATGTGTACATTTTTGGTTTGACTGTGTAAATTAGTTGATTCAATAACATAAAAGTTTTAAAAAAATATTATGATAAAGAGTGGAATTGTTGATGAATAAAAATAAAATAAAAAGTTAGACCTACCTTTTTACTGGTCCTGACCTGTCACTTCTTCACAGAACACATTGTAGTATCACATTCAGGATGTCCCGAAAGTTTGGAAAACTTTATATACATAAGTACTAATATAGTATGATTTCAAATTTTACTGTATGTGCTGACATCTAAATTTTATTTCAATACCAAACTATACTTTCTGTTTTTTTTTTTACAAATATTTTTACGTTTTAGTTTTTTACTTTACTTAAATTGTATTTTTTGTGGTTCAATATTAATGATTTAAAAATTTAAAAATTTTTCCATCATAGAATTTCTAGCTATAAATTGTTGCTATGTTATATTTTTAGTAGTCAGCATATATTTTTGATTTTTCACTATTTTGTTAAAAGTTAATGCTACCTACTTAGGTATACATAATAATATATGTGAGTATACTATTATGTATTTTATTTACACATCTAACAATTTGTAATAATAAATAATACCTAAATAATAATTAATTTAAGTGTTGCTTTTACTATTGTTAAAATGGTTAATTTTGTATATCCAAACTAATTGTAAGTATCTAGGTTTTTAGTTTTATTGATAGTTATTGATATAAAATAAAATGACTTTGAATAGAAATAATTAATTAGGTTTTTTTTCAGTACAATATACTTAGTTATTTTAATTTGTTTCTTATCAGATTAAGTTATTTTTGTTGATATTTTAATTATTTTTTTGTTACAGACAATAAGTTTATTTTAAATTCATTTTTATGTTTAGGAAATTTGTGACAATCTTCTGTTTGTTATCTAGCATTAATTAAATTACCAATGTTTATTAAAAAAACATTAAATGGATAATATAAAATCATGGAGTTTTGGTTAAACTTTTAAAATAGGATTGGCAACGTATAAACAGTTGAACTTTGCTCAAGGCTAAAACATAAGACTTAAATACATGTTACATGACTATATTATATGTACATGTTAAACCAAGTTCATTCAGTTTACATCTTTTAAAATTTAAATTAGCATTGATGCATGTAAYCTTGATATTTTTATGTTGGGGCATTTATTGGTTTTTAGGAAATCTAAAAAATCTTTAAAAACTTTAAAAATGAATAATTTACAAATGGTGCATTTTTTTAATTATAGTAAAATTTTGCTAGGAGTTAAGGTTAGGTATCAGTTAAGGAATACTATTATTATTTGTTTTTAAGTTAAACAGTTTTGTGAGTATTAATTAATATAATTCATTAATATTGCATAATATACTATGATGTATGTGTAATTATAATAATGCCATCAATAAATTGGGGTCCTTCATAATTCTGTACCTCGTTTCACATAGCTGAATGCAGATTTTATAATCATGCTGGCAGTGCTTTATCAGGAGGGACCAGTTATGTCCCAGAAATTATGAAATTTAAAATTATTTCRAGGTGAGTTTAAGAAAGTTAAATTATTAATTACCCATACATTTGTGATGAACTGATGAATATTTAAATATGCAATGTTTTAATTACAAATAGTATAATTATGTGTTATTATTTACTATATACAGTAGAGTCCCGCTAATCCGGACTAGATGAAACCGGACTCTCTCCGGATTATTGAAAATCCGGATTAAACGAAATGACATTTTTTTTTTCAACTTGCTAATTAATAAACACTAAATATACTGTCAAAAAAACACCTCATGTATTTAATATTTAATATGAATTCAAAATTTA